CACACACACACACACACACACACACACACACACACACACACACACACACACACACACACACACACATATATACACACTTTTTGCACTGCAACAATTCTGGAGGGCCTGTAACCCACCTGGGCATTTGTACCAGGTGGAATGAGAGGGCAGGCGGAGGGGAGGGGGGTTTGCTCCTATGATCCCTGCCCCCAAGAGGCCCAGATTTTCAGACACCCCCTCCCAAAAGAACCTTTCCAAATTGTAGCAGCCCCTGCCCCACCCCCGCTCCAAATGACGCCCATCCCACATCAGAACTACAAATCCCAAGATTCCCAGCTAATCCAGCAAGGAGGCATCTCCTTTGTTTTAGGCTCAGGGGCCCCTGTTTGGGGAGGGTCAAAGGTCACCCTCTGCCTCCGAATGACACAAGGGGGGGGGCTGCCCAAACAAGCCCCCACTCCCCAATGATCCAGGACAAAGGGCTGGGCTGGGAAAGCAAACAGAACAGGCAAATCCTACATGATACTTATATTTATTCTGGTTTCTTTTTTTAAAAAAAAAAATCCAGTTTGGAAAAGGGTTTATTTCATTTTTTTCTTTCTTTCTCTCTTTATAGGTGGTTGAATCTTTGCAAAAATCAGAGAAGAAGGAGAAGTTAATTTTAACCTAAATTTAAATTAAACCTAAATTTAAATTAAACCTAAATTTAAATTTAAAGGTTAAACTGAGCTTCCCTTTCTTCTCAGATTGAAATTTAAATTTGAACGGAAGGGGCGGATTTTTTTAATGTTAGACTGAGAGGTCGGCTAAGGGGGGCCAGAAGGTGGATTCTCCCCACATCACGGCCGGCTTTTGCCCCACTGTGGGGCGGACAAAGGAATTTTCTGAGTCTACAAATAAGGGAAGAGTTGGAAGGGACTTTGGAGGTCATTTAGTCCAGCCCTGGGGGGGCCATGTGATCGCCACTGGCAACCTTCTGGCAAGCCACGCCCATAAGGGAAGCCAGATTTGCTACCGCTTAACAGCAGTGATTCACTTAAGAACCGTGGCAAAAGTTGTAAAACGGGGCAAAACCCCGATTTAACAAGCTGCCTCGTTTAGCCATTTTGATGTTCGCAACTTAACAACAGCAGTGAGGTCTCCAACATCCATGGGAGAAAAGGTCGTAAAATCAGGGCGTGACACCCCCCCTCCTCTTAGCAAGGGAAATTGGGGGTTCGGGAGGGGGGGGCTCTCCATTCTTTGCAGGCTTTTTCCAGATGTCTTTAGATGTTTCCACTGGAACATCAGCTGGAGGCAAGGGAGTCTGTGTGTGTGTGTGTGTGAAATGGGAGTTTGCATGAGAGAAAGACAGCTGCTTCTGGGGGGGGGGCAGGTGTGCCCTGTGGTTTTCCCCCCCCCCAATTCCCCCTGCTTCTCAGCAGGGCCCCCTCCCATGCATTTTCCACAAAGGCCTGTAGCTTCCAAGTAGTATTGTCCAGCCTTGGAGAGGGGGGGGGACACACAGATTATCTTGCCCCCCCCCCTGGAGAATGCAGATGTGATCTCACCCCTCCCAAGGGAGGGGGGGCATGCTGAGGTTTCGCCCCCATTTAACTGGCGTGAAGGGGTGGGGTGGGGTGGGGAAGACAGGTCAGGGATCCAGCTGTGGGGTGAAGCGGAGAGAGCAGCCCTATTGTTTTTGGGACAGTTGTGCCCCCTCCCCAAAAAATGTCTGCAGAGCAGACAAAAGGCAGTTCCTGGCCCCCCAGATGGGGAGGGACAGGCCCCTCAGATGCAGGGGGGGGATATTTCTGGGCCAGAAAGGAAGCTGGGTAAAAACAAGAAAGGGGACCCCGATTTCCCTCAGGGATGGGGGGGGAGCCTTTAAGGGACTCCGGTTTTCCATTTTCATGGCCGCTAGGACCCCCTCCTCACAGTTAAAGGGCCCCTTTATTTCACCCCCTTCGAAGGGTCCCTAAAGCGACGGTTGAAAGCCCACAGATACTCCTTGACTTACGACCACAAGGGGCCCCCCCAAAATAGTGTTTTATAAGCCCCTCCAACTCATAACCTCTGAGCAGCGAGCATTAAAAAACAAGGCTCCGAAATAAAGAATGCAGGCAGTCCTCGACATACGACGGTTCACTTAGTGACCAAAGTTACAACGGCCCTGGGAAAAAGGGGGCCGGTGAGCATCTTTCACACTGAATGACCCACACGATCAGAACTGGAAAACGGACTCGTGTTTACGACGGTCCCGGGGTCACATTTTGCGACCTCCTGAGAAGCCCTTCCCATTTGGGCCAGGCCGTGAGAGCCCATCATCCCCGCCCAAACCTCCCGAGAGCCAAGGGACGTCTGCAGGTAGACTGCCCTGGAGGGGGAGGTTCCTCTCAGGGGATCCCCAAGGAAGTCACTTGTTCCAGATTGCCTGGGAAGGGAGCGGGCATTTCCTACCGTGTGTCGGGGGTCCGGTGCCCTCGGGGGGTGGCGGTGGTTTGGGAGGGGCTGACGGAGACGTGCAGGCAGCCTCGAGAACAGCCGGATCTTTCCGGAGACCCTCCGGGACGCCCAGGGGCAGCTGCCAACCGAGGAAGGAAGCAAAGAAAAGCGTCAGAAGACCAGAGTCCAAAAATGCCACGGAAGGAGGGAGGAAGAGGAGGGGAAAGGAGAAAAGGAGGAAGCAGAGGGAGTAAGGGAGGGGAAGGAGGAGGAGGAGAGAGGAGAAGGAGGAGGGGGAAAGAGAGAGGAAGAAGAAGGGAGGGAGGAAGAGGAGGGAAAGGAGAGGAAGGAAGGAAAGGAGAGGAAGTAAGGGAGGGGAAGTAAGAGTAGGAGAGAGGGGAAGGAGGAGGGGGAAAGAGAGGGGAAGAAGGGAGGAAGAGGAGGGAAAAGGAGAGGAAGTAAGGGAGGGGAAGTAAGAGGAGGAGAGAGGGGAAGGAGGAGGAGGAGAAGAGAGGAGGAGGGGGGAAAGAGGGGAAGAAGGGAGGGAGGAAGAGGAGGGAAAAGAGAAAGGAGAAAGCAGAGGAAGTAAGGGAGGGGAAGTAAGAGTAGGAGAGAGGGGAAGGAGGAGGGGGAAAGAGAGGGGAAGAAGGGAGGAAGAGGAGGGAAAAGGAGAGGAAGTAAGGGAGGGGAAGTAAGAGGAGGAAAGAGGGGAAGGAGGAGGAGAAGAGAGGAGGGGGGGGAAAGAGGGGAAGAAGGGAGGGAGGAAGAGGAGGGAAAAGAGAAAGGAGAAAGCAGAGGAAGTAAGGGAGGGGAAGTAAGAGTAGGAGAGAGGGGAAGGAGGAGGGGGAAAGAGA